CCTGCTCTTGATCTTCTGGGACACACACATCCTGTGCTCCTGGAGTGAAATGTATCGTGTGATCTGGTGTGAGATCTGGTTTGATATCTGGTGTGAGATCTGGTTTAACTCACAAGTCTGTTTTTATGTTTGTTTGTACTTTTACGTGTAATATGACAAAGATGCTGAGGCAGGCTACCGTTTAGGCACATTTACTAAGTTTGTGGTATGACGTCATCGTTACTCACGTTCCAGGGATGCCTCAACTGTAATAAACTAACATTTACATTTTCATTTAGGGCATTTAGCAGACGCTTTTGTTCAAAGCGACTTATACTAAGTACGTTTGTCAGAAGAAAGTGAAACATTATATCGCTGTCGGTACTGGATGTCAATAGAACAAGTTTAAAGCACTCATAATTGTTAGGTTAACCCATTCCTCGTATACAACAAAGATAGCTAGGGTAAAAATGCTGCATGATAGCTAAGTACTATGTATGTATTAGATGTTTTGGATTCAATACAGTACACTGTCTCGCCGTAGACTGCTCCTGTCTACGGCGGTACCTGTCTAAATCGGTACACTGCCGATTTTGCCAATGTTGTTTCCATCAACGCATTTTCATGCATATTTTGAATTCACATTTTCTAATCACATTCTTACAATCGCTTGCTTAAAATGTGGTTGACTTGGATGGAAACACGGCTGCGGTGTATTGTTCCATCAGACCAGTGGCAGAACCCACGAGGGTGTTAAATAACGTGTGGATATATCATGAACAAACACTAGTGTCTAGTTTGTTTGGATGACATATTTGGGAGGCTTAATCACAGGTCTGTGTTGTACTGAGATTTGGTCTGTCATCTGGTTTGAGATTAGTTCTGAGGTCTGGTTTGTGTTATGATCAAATGTGAGATCTGTTCTGTGTTGTGGTGGATGGTTTGAGATTAGTTCTGAGATCTGGTCTATACTCTGGTTTCTGATCTGGTCTGAGATCTGTTTTGAGATCTGTGGTCCTTGATTTGGTGCGAGATCTAGTGTGAGATCCGGTCTGAGATCCACCCAGTGGAACGAGAGGAGGAGGCGGCGATGGCGGTCCTGAAGACTGCATGGGGTTGGTGTGTGTGTGTGTGTGTGTGGGGGGTTGAGGGGGTGCTGATGATCGGATAGAGAGGTGGGGCGAGAGAGAGAGAGAGAGAGAGAGAGTGAGAGAGACAGGTCGTAAACAGGAGATTAGGAGGAGCAGGGTTTTGCGAGGATGTTAATTTTGGACCAGAAGGGGAGGTGCGGTTGTTGTTGGGCCACAGCTCAGTCTGCGTCCCGTGATACGCCGTCGTCGCTGCGCAAGCACCAGCTGGCTAACAGCCAATCAATGGCTCGAACCACCCTTCTTCATCACGCTGATGGTGGTCACCCTGTCCGTTGCCATGGCGACGGTGTCCATTCTCCTCTCTCTTGTCGGCTGGGGGACGGGCGGCCGAGATACGGTCCATGACAACACACACACACACACACACACACACACAGAAACACGCACACACAAACACATGCACACACACACACACACACGGTAGACACACAGCACTGAACTCACAATCCCGCTGCTTGTGTTTGTTGGACTCTCAGAGTCATGACTCGCTTGTTCAGCGACAAATGAAATGTTGACACAGACGTGCGGCAGAGGTTTCAGAGGTTTGGCGACGTGCGCTTTTATTTCTATAGCGCTCCGGCGGTGATGATGATGTTGTTGTTGTCGCTGCTGCCTTTTTTTTTTTTTTTTTCAACCTTCCTGTGACTCAACGCCGGGGTGACTCATCCGACACACACGTCCCATCACTATGAGCGGAACCGCTCTCCTCCTTCCTAACGAGCGCAATGATTTGTTGTGATTATTTAATTTGATATTCATTTGATATTATTTATATGTTTTTATTCTACGTCTCTTAAAACCTGCACTATGTGCGTTTCTCCCATTACGTTGTCTCGAGGTGTAGCCACGGTAACGGCCGTATCATTTGCAGATGTCCGTAACTGTCGTCTTGGGATTTTCAACACAGTGGGAGTGGACCAGAATAAAAATAACAATTAATTCAGAGAAATTCCCTGGATGGATGGACTCGTGGATGGGCGCGTTTTATCCTTGAGAAACGTTTCACATTTTGTAATGGAGGAAATAGCTGCAGTGGAACAATGACATACACATGATGGGTTTTCAGCCAAGCGCCGGATGCTAGGTTGGGCGTTCGTAACGATGGCAGTCTGACAAGGACATGAGTTACATACTTCAGGGAACCACCCTGGAAACCATTATTGGTTCCTCGTGTTTGCGTGATCCGAATGCTTGTTCAGGATTTCCTTTTGGTTTTAAGGTGCGTTCGCTTAGGAGACGCGATACGTCGTCGTGTGTTGACCGCTTCGCCGTTCTGTTTTCTGTTGTTCTCCAGGAGTTTCTCCGAGCTCTACCAGAAAGCCATCAAAGACGCGGACTGTAAGCCCGGCGAGAGCCACAGCGGAGAGGCCTGGATCCTGGACGAGAGGGACGAAGACGAGGAGGAGGAGGAGGCGGAGGAGGTGAAGGAGGAGGTGAAGAAGACGGAGGAGCAGAAGCCAGGGGGAGTCACCGAGGCCGAGACGGCGGAGGCGGAGGCGGAAGTGGAGGTGGAGGTGGAGATGGAGGTGCGGGAGGAGGAGGAGGAGGAGGAGGTAGAGGTGGACCACCAGCCTCCAGAGACACAGAGGAACACAACAGGGACCAGGACCCGCTCCTCCTCCTCTCCCCGCCCAGCCTGCCTCTGCTGCGGGCCACGTCGCTGCAGGACCCGCCCCACCCCAGCCAGACCCAGGGCCGCGACTCCACCCTGTTGACACGCAGCATCTCCCTGGAGAGACAGGACGAGTGAGTGAGGCTTTAACCCCGCCCCCCCTTTCATTTATTATTCATGTATTTATTTATGGTTTATTTGGTTGGGACAGATACAGCGTACATACAGACAAACTAAGAACGACTATCCGACGCAAGTGTCATAGTGTTTATAGTGGATGCTGATTTGCAACACCCGTTCCTAGAAGTGCTTTTGGGAAAATAAGAGATTAAAAAGAAGGCAAACTGAGTACAGCAAGGTACAGTAGAGCACACATTAAGTAGTAACACAGCTACAAAACCGTACATGAGTACAAGTTTGTTGCTGAACGATTCGGTAACTCTCTTAAAAGTGTTTCAAGTTTCGAGTGATCGGTCAGCACTTCCCATGACTTTGCTACTTTCACAGAAAAAAAGCTGTCCGAGCGAAGCTGTTTTGCAGAATGAAACTTTACCACTTGAAGCTGCTGCTGCTGTTTTCTCTCCGCTCTCATTGGTCCATGAGAATGACAGGAATGCACAATGAGTATGCGATGCTTTGCACAAAGCCCGCACCAGTGGCTAGATCGTTAACCTCTCATTGGTCCGTGAGAATGACCGAGCGCTGTGACGCTTTGGTGACCGCCCCTCCTCTAGAGTCTTGTCTCTCATTGGTCCATGAGAACGACAGGAATGCGTTAACTTGATGTATTATAACGTGCGTGTCTATTATTTTATGCATTATGTACATTTATTCGCTATTTTTTCATCAGCTACACAAAAATACAAAGTCGGTACAATCAATAAATGTTAATCTCCTGTGCCTTCAGAGGTTTTTTTAAAAAACAAACACTGCTGTTCTTGTAGTTTCCTTCATTTATGCATCATGCGTTTCCTTCAGACATATGTATTTAACCCGGCCTCGCACAAAACCCTCTTATCTGATCCCCGCAGCTGGCGCTGGAGGGATCCCTCCAGCTAGTGCTGCAGGGATTTCTTTTGGGATGTATTTTTTTAATGGGTTTTTTTGTGCCTTTTATGGACAGACCTTTTAAAGTGGGTTTAAAGAGAGTAGTGAATGATATAGCCTGGGTACCTACAAGGTGTATTGGGTGTAAGGTTTCCACAAGGTGTAATAGGGCTTGTACATCAGAATGCATCATGGGATTTTTTTATGTTGGCGATACTCCGCCACATTGAGAGGATTAGAGAGAGTTGTAGCGCTGTATCAACATAAATATACCGTAACCTAGGCTAACGAAAACTTTGTTTTGCCACGACTTTCAAACACAACAATGTCTCCCCCATAATGACGAATCATTTCCCGATGCATCGCTAAACAACGACCGACAAACCGTAACCGACGTACGAGCCCTATTGTCTATGTCGCTGGCGCACCGGCTAGTCGAGCTGCCGAGCTGCGGCTCGATTTCCTTGTTGGAGCGGAGACTCCTGAAATAGGTTATGAAGTCATACATATTCATGGCGGCGATATTAAACTCCACCGCAGCCCGGCATTAAGTCATCCGAGTCTCATCTCCAGCAGGCAGACGCAAAAGCAAATTATCACGCTTTTTTTTTTTCCCTCTTCCCCTCAATAACCAACATCCGCGTTTGTCCTGATGGATATTATGGTCTGTCCCAGATATCATCAGATAGCAGCAGGCCTGGAAATGACTAGATTAAGTGGGACACCTTATTTGAGGCGGGGGGGTGGGGGGGGGGGGGGGGGGGGGGTGGGGGGGGGGGGGGGGGGGGGGGGGGGGGGGGGGGGGGGGGATTTATTTCAAATGATGAGTAATCGTGGACAAATTCAGCATAAAACAGCAATGTCTGTGTCTATATGCATAGCTACATAGTATACACATCTGTGTGTGTGTGTGTGTGTGTGTGTGTGTGTGTGTGTCTATGTGCATAGCAAGCTAGGTAGCAGCTAGCTAGGTAGCAGCCTGACAGTGGGGAAAAGGCAGTGCTCACTTGATACCAATAGCAGGTAATGTAACCAGTGAATTCAAACAATGCCCTTTTTTTAAAACCTTTATTTATTCAGGGACGTTTCAATGAGAGGAAGCGTCTCTTTAGCAGGAACGCCCTGATCTGTCACACCTGGAAAGCTGCCCAGTACAACCACAGTCTGACCCGCTGGCCACTGGCCACTCTAACCATTAGGTTAAAACGTGTGGGGGCGCAGAATAGTCTAGCGGCTAGGGTAGTTTGACTCCCAAACTCACAAAAGGTTCTGGGTTCGATTCCCACGATGTCCTCAGCCTAACCTGTAGACATCCTTGAGCAAGATGATGACCCCTAACCCCTCCTTCATGACATGTATCTGAATTGGCTTGTAAGTTGCATTGAATAATAATAAGTGTGACTAAATAGTGAGTCTCTCTCTCTCTCTCTCTGGCGGGTCTCACGGGTCGGACAGCTTGGGGATGAAGGTGGAGTGCCACATCTTCGAGAACCCCGGCGAGCTGCGAGACGCCACCCCAGACCTCATCCTGGCCGTCAAACCCAAGCTGCCCCAGGACGCCCCACAGGTAGACCCGGCCCTCGTCTACCTCCTCCTCCTCCACACACACCCCAGTCACCCTGTTACAACAACATATATATATATATATATATATATATATATATATATATATATATATATATATATATATATATATATATATATATATATATATATATATATTAGTATTAATATTGTAATATATTTATTGATTTTCAACAGTGAAAGCGATCACGACAAACATTCGGCAACAGTACAATTGCTTAAATACAAATCTATACATAGTACACACACACACACACACACACACACACACACATCTATTCGAAACAACTACAATCTTTAGAAAAAAAGATTAAATAAAGCAAAATATTGTCAAAATGAACCTCTTAGCTGTATCCATATTTACTGTTTTCAGAAAGTCTTAGTTTTATATAAATGAGAGGAGTCCTCCCTCTTTCTCCAAAAACAACTTTAAATTTAGCTCTCTCTCTCCCTCTCTCTCTCTCTCTCTCTCTCTCTCTCTCTCTCTCTCTCTCCCTCTCTCTCTCTCTCTCTCTTTCCGTTGTTAGTTTGTGGGGGCAGAGATTGGCGAGGAGCGAGCGAGCGCCAGCGACGGCCCGCTGTCAGCGACCCGGCTGTCGGGTTTGGACCGCGCCGACCGTAACTCCAGAGCGCTCAGCCTCCACAACTCCATCACCAAGAGTAAGACGAGACCTCTGATAACCCTGATGTCTGTCCAAAAGCTGACCTCCATTGTTGTCCAAACCCAATGTTTACCTGTGGCCTATTCATAGCGCTCAAGCGCTGAGATTTGTGAGTGAACTCGTTATTTAAAAGTGTTTTCACGTGTGGAAATGCCATTGCAAAACAGTTGTGTTTGCAGTTTTGCAAAAAGTGTGTTATAAAATAACAAACAATGTAAAGCAGAGCATTCAGTTATTCAGTGCATTCAGTTTGGCACACTCGGTAAATGCATTGGCTGCAAGCGTTAATGGTTTCAGAGAAAGTGCTTCAAGCATCGCTGTTAGTGTTTAAGCATTCAGAAAAAACTAACTCCTGTCTGTTGACTGTCTGTTGACTGTCTGTTAACTCTGTCTGTAAGCACTGTCTGTTAACTGTCTTTCAACTCTGTCTGTTAGCTCTCCTGTCTGTTGACTCGCCTGTCTGTCTGATAAACTCTACCGTCTGTCTGTCTGTATGTCAGAATAATGCTGCAATGCATAATTCAGTTCATAAACACAACACACATGACAGACAGATAGATACGTAGAGAGAGAGAGAGAGAGAGAGAGAGAGACAGACAGACAGACAGACAGACAGACAGACAGATAGACGGATGGATAAATGGGCACACAGACAGACAGGCATATATGAAAAAGGATAGTCTAGAGAGAGATAGAGAGAGAGAGAGGGGGGGGGAGAGAAGAACGTCCTGTAATGCATTCAACAAACTGATCCACCACTGACCCCTTATGCCCCTGACTACTCACCCCCTCCCCCGCCCCCCCCCCCCCCCCCCCCCCCCCCCCCCCGCGCTGCTCAGCTGCTGCCAGGCTGCAGCACCAGCTCCTACTGGGGGGGTGGCGGTCCTTCAGCCCCCTCTCACAGCTATCCGGGTGCTTTCTCTCTCTCCCACTAAACCCCTCTCCACTCATTATCCCCCTCTCTCCCTCCTCCGCACCCGCCCCCCCCAGCCCCCCTTTGTCTGCCTTGCTGTCATCGACAAACCCCCCCACCCCCCAACCCACCACTAATCTAATATCACAGCAGCCCCTCCGACTCCCCCCCCCACTGGGGCCGCCATAAAGGGGGGACAGATGGGTAATGGGAGGGGAGGGGGGGGGGGGGGGGGGCGTGTCCCCCCAAATTCAGAGCCCCTCTTTAAAACCATCTGCTTCCACCTTTGGGGCACGAGCCCACGAATGCAGCCCACTCTGACCTCCATAAGAGCAAGCACACTCCACACACCCCTCGCTCCTCTCCTCTCCTCCTCTCTCCGTCTCTCTCCCTCTCCTCTACTCTCTCCCTCTCCCTCTCCTCTCCTCTCCTCTCCTCTCCTCTCTCCCTCTCCCCTCCTCTCCTCTCTCCTCTCTCCTCTCTCCTCTCCTCTCCTCTCCTCTCTCCTCTCCTCTCCTCTCCTCTCTCCTCTCTCTCCTCCTCCTTTCCTCCTCCTCCTCCTCCTCCTCCTCCTCCTCCTCCTCCTCCTCCTCCTCCTCCTCCTCCTCCTCTCCTGTTTTGTTCTATTTTGCTCTTTTTGTAGTCCACCGAATGGCCCCGTGTCACTTTGTGTTTGCGGTGCTAATGAATGAGGTGGCAGAATGGTGTCAATACAGCGTCAAGTCATTTATCACACTTTTTTTGTTTTACTTACTCACGCTTGCTAATCGCCTTCCATTAAAAGGAGCTGATTATAATTATATCTTACGAAACGTTATATCTGTCGTCTGCCTAATGTGTCACTTTGGAAAACCTTCATTAAAACCTATTCATACGTCCATGTAGTCTGTTAAGAGAGTTACAGTATAGGGTCTTTTCCTTGTCCTCCTTTTGTAACCCAGCACCCAGTATTATGACAACACCGCCACCTAGTGGTGACTCTGTGTCATTTACAGAAGCATCATTCTGATCAAAGTTTAAACTTGCATTGCGGGGCATGGAAACATGTAACTGGTTCTAACTTTGCTATGAGTCCTTGTTAAAGCTTGAGTCTGTCTCTTGTCTTTTCTCCTCTAGTCCTTTCCGAGACGACAGAGTCTACCGAAGAGGAGTGGCAGTCCATCGCCGACGTGGCCACCGCCTGCCGCAGCATTCTGGAGGCTCTGTCACGAGAAGGTCAGCCCGCCATTACAATCAAATTATAATAACGCCTTCACACTGTTAGCTGACATCACAACAAAATGGCCACCATGATATAGAAGATAGAAGGAGATGGATGGAGATGGAGGGTTTAATACACTGAAGGCCTAACTGAAAGTAGAAATGGCTAATTTAGGGTTAGGGTTAGTTATTTGTATATTTTATTCTGCCTTATTTATTCTGCCTTTTTTATTATTGTCCCTTAAAGCCGTTTGTTAGCTGCTTTCATTGTTATACAAATAACGTATTTGTTATGATGGTGATGATGATGTCGTTTTCTACAGACCGTAAAGCAGCCGACCAATCAGGATCCGACCAGACGGACGGCAAGCTGAGGGACTCAAAGGACAGGTGGGTGGGGCTGTTGCCACGACGATGTTGCCTTTGTGTGGATGTTCAAGCTACAGACTAAAGACGTGACTTCTTCATGGCTGACGTCCCTGGTTCACTGTTCTGTTGTGTCTTTGTACTGTTTCTGCTGTTATTGTACTGGCCTGGACTGGTTTAGACTGGTACTGGACTGGTATGAACTTGTTAAGACAGGTTGGGCTGGTTTGGACATGTTTATACTGTTTACTGTTGCTTTGATGCTGTAACAGCATACACACACACACACACACACACACACACATACACACTCACATAGTTCATAGGCTCAGTGTTATAGGCTACATTAACACAACAACAGTCTATTCTGATATTCAGCCCAAGGTTAATCTTTGATTCTGTTGATTAATGTCTTCTCTGACATTTTTTGTCGTCTTCGTGTCAGTGAGGTAGAGGAACTCTATCTCAGGTGTCTCCTATCTAAAGATAATGATATAAAATGATCACATTAGTACAGGTCAGGCCGCAATTATGGCGGTTCATGAGAAAAAAGGGCGGAAAAGTTGAAGGAAGAGCGGATCTTAGCCGCCACTGTGGTCGCTAATCAAACATGACAGGTTGTTATCTTGCCAAAGTGTAGAGTGACGTTGGTCGGTATTAAATTAACCGGAATTTGCACGCATACCAGGGGACCAAGTAGTTCCCTGAAACAGATATGTATCAAAGTTATTTCCACATATAAAAAGGAATAGGCTGAAATCTGATTGGATGTAATCAGATTTCAATAGTCTTACGTGTCAGTAAATCAAATTCCCGCTACACACACCACAGTGATCTTAGCAGTAGTATCTCTGTGTTTAAAGTCCTGAAGGCCCCTTCTCCGTTTCAGACTCATATCATGACTAAAAATTAAGGAAGACCTCAGATCTCACTTCTCCCCCCCCCCCCTTAGGTTTCTGTTTTGGTTCAGTCCATTTGCCCTCAGTTCAGTTGACATCTTCAACAAACCAAACACAGTATTGCCTGATTATAGTGATGGACAACAGAAATCCGTAATTTACTTCTAATTATGTTATTAAGGGTTATCAAGGAGTGCATTAAGCATCAGAAAATGATGTTCCATGAAATCCAATGCGATCTCACATAATTTCAGTCTATCGATTTCCTTCTATTCCTCAACCAATTTAATGGGTGGAGTCTATTTTCCCTATTTGACCAATTACCATACACTGGCGTGGCCAAGCCAGGCCACTCACATGTAACTCAAAGTCTGAAATTCATGTTTCAGACTTTGAGGAAGTGCAAACTACACAAAACAGAGAGGGGGCGGGGATCCAGACCACCCCTACAATCCCGTTCAGAGGTTATTAGCGGACTTTGAGATGTATATTAACATACTTTTTGACATTTTCCTGACAAGATATTAGTAGGCGTGTAGTGGATACATCCCTCTGTGATATGTTTATGTTTATGATTTTAGATCCTGTTGTCCCTCACTTTAAACATTGTGAGTCCCTCAGTACAATCGTTTAGATGGCGATGACCTTTAGCATCTTTACTCTCATCTGGTG